ACGTATTCAATATATTTAACTCCATTAAGAAAAGGTATTGATGATTATGATATTTTAGACGCCTTTTGTGTACACCCCGTCTCATGCTTACCTTGCGTAATTCTTTAGCTACTTGGACAAATATATTTTTGTTTTGCATGCCTTATATAACATCAATGCTTTTAATTGACATATGAAGACATAACCACCAGCTAACACACAACGATAAGATGTTTTGTTTACTTTTTAGTTCATTGGTTTACCTCCTATATATAATTGCGTTAGTTTTGATTTATTATTAATACGTGCCAAACAGATATTTGATTTATTTTGATATTGATTGAACATTACTGCAAATGAGGTATTGCTGTTATGTTGTTTTGGATTTAATTATGACGAGCTTTTGGTTTGCTTTTTGGCATTAACAATGTATTTTAGTCTCCTCCTTGTGTTTGAACATAGTTTAGACCAGTTTGGATTGATATCATTTTGGCCCCTAGTGTCACTGATGAGTCCTAGAAGGACGAAACAGCTGTATGGTGCAGTGTAATTAATTTTTGGCGTACTGTATTGATTATTAGATTTAAAAGGACCAATCACCTTTGTTGTGTGTGTTACGTGCATCTTACAGCAATATGCAGTATCCGATTTATAACTACATATTGCAAACAATTGCAAGTACTACAAGTTGGTGTAGGTATGATGAAAACGTTTGGTGTAAGATTCTGTCAGTGTCAGTATGATATAAAGTTTAGTGTAAATTTCTACCCTTGCTAGTGTCGGTAATGAAGATTTTTTTTTGTGCAGGATTGAGCAAGTGACTTTGTCTATAACGAAGTTACTGTTGGTGTAATATGTAGCCATTGTCAGTTGGGTTAATTTGCGTTGGTGCAGGTTTCTGCCAGTGTAAGTGTGGGTTGTAATGTATCATTTGAGGTAAGATTGAGTTAGCGTCATTTTTGTTTATGAATTAAAGGTATAGGTACAAGTCTGTTACATTGTATGGACAATTACGCCGTTTTGGGCGGCTCATGCTGTTGGTAATAAGGTACTTTAAGTTTAAATTGTTGTCATTGTCGGTAATGATTAAAGTGTTAGTTTTAAGATTAAGTCATTACCAGTGTCAGTGATTATTTGACGTTTGACGTAATATGTAGTTGTTTTCACTTTTTGTAAGGGGTAAAGCGTGCAGTATAAATGATTCAGTTCCGATTGTATACATCATCGTACATTATAAAAGGCTACGCTAAAGCCGGTTCTTTTCGAGTGGATCATATTTTCGCTAACTTGCATGGCATATATGTAATTGCAAACATTGCGCGTATGATTGTTTAAAATATATTGTATGTTTTAAAATAGAGGAACTAGAATAAAGTGATCAGTTCACAGGTAGGTTAAGGTATTAGTGAACAGTTCAATGGTGTATACTGTTAGTCGTTGTTTTTTGTCTCGCCGCAACGAATGAGCGAAAGTGAGGCAAATGTGTTGCTGATTCGGCGACGATGGCGTCGTCAAACATCCACATTTAGCTCCAACGTTACATTTTCATTGTAATGCTTCTTTCTATAAAATATCTTATAAGTGCTAGGGTAGCTAAAGACCAATATTACATGGTCCACTGGGTATGTTGAGGCTGATTTGTTACTTCCGTTCTGTTTATTATGGTTTTAAAAAGTGCTAGAGAAAATAAACTTAAACCTAAATCTAAATGCATTTGGAATTTGTCTTTCAGAATTAAAGATAAAATAAATTTTGGCAAAGGAATACAATTTATAATAAGGTGGATGTTTTTGTGATCGTGACGTCAAACGTTTGCATTTAACTGTAACATTCATAATCCGTGTTTAGGTTTTTTCCTCTGAAAACAGAGGCAAATGCATGCGACGAAGAATTTCATTTTAGATTACTACAAACAATCACAAATCGAATAATTTATCATGATGCTGTCAAATGTCTTTCTCAAATGTGTGAATTGACTGACACAGCGAAAACGGCAAGATTTATATGTATCAATCCGTAAAATGCTTATTTTTACTGAACATCGATATATATATTTGAAAGTCGACATCAGGGGCATAACCTGTGAAAAATATGATGGCAACTGTTGCGACCAAATTGGGAAAACTTATTCAGATCTTTAAACAAAAAGGATAACAAAAATACGCTTGTTGTTTCACATGTTTTGAATGTTTCCTGATGGTACTAAAGAATTGTTCATTGTGGCAAGCATTTTTACACTTTGGCCTCTTCAATGATTGGTGTTGCATAAGTCAGTCATAAGTGATGTTTTAAATATTACCATTATATATATCAAACTAGATTTTGGAAACTGGAGAATTTACTATTTTTGTTTACCATTGAAACACTTGTAGCTGTCTGAGGAACTGTTTCTGATGCAGTCTGGTGTCGTGGGAAGGATATTAACGTCCCTGTTTCACTCGTTTGTCCATCAGTTCTCACCAACACCCTCACATTTCGTACGTGATGACTTAGTTGCTCCACCTGTTAGCCGATGTACGCAATACACACGGTAGGCTTATGTCGGACCTAACGATGAATCCTGTCAAATCATACTGCAACTATTTCAAATGTAAATAAGAGGTAGACCATGCCCATTGAAAAGACTTACTGGTTATCCAATGTACTTATTTTGAAACGCAGAATTTGTTTTGAACGTTTGAAAACTTCGAACTGGCTGATGTACCAATGCATTCCTTGTTGTGGAATTCAAACTCTCATTCACATGTTATTGGCACATACAGAGCCAGCGACGTCGACTTTATTACCATTATGGCTTTACCTTTTATATGCAGATGCTATCCCCATTATGTGGAACATTCTCTGATAGTAAATATTTTTTCCGTGCTTTAGCATGTTTGGTTAATTCATTTAATGTTTATTGGTGATATTATACTTCCTTGTATATTAGTTTTACTAATGATTGGCGACGTTTCTCCTCGATTGTTTTATAATCGGTTGTAGTGTTTGCACCAGTCATTGTTATCCATAACAATTGTGTTATGATTGGCGTGGTTATGGTAATAGAAGTCTAAATGTTTAAACTTTTATCACAATAATTGTACTTGTCTATCAAGCATTTCTTTGATTCTTTTCATCGAAAACACACACGTAAGATTGTATAAATGAGCGGGAATTTACGTTAGAACAACATATTCATTATACTGTGATATATGCTATGTTGGGGTTGTGTAATACATAATTGTTGTGACAATTATCACTATCTAATATACCTGGTTTATCTCATTCCTCCCTTTGGTGTCCCTGATCAAACTGTTTATGCGTTACTGTGTCATCAGTAATATTAACACACACTCCTTTTGGAGTTGAAGTGTATGAACGTCGGTACAGACGGCTGAGAATTGGGATGTTAAGACGGTACAAAGGGACTAGTGTTACACTCGGCAGCCGGAGTGATTACATACCCCCTAATGTTAGTGTAAAAAAGTTTTATTTGAATTAGCCTGATTTTCTATATATATGTCTGCTTTATGTCAAATCTCTGCGTTGAGAATGAGGTTTGTTTTTTCTGGGAGTAAAGACATTAGATTTTTGGTGAGAAACTTACAAAACTGTTTCCAAATAACAGTTCATAATATTTTGCGACATCAGTCTATCAGCATCTTTGAGCATTGTTTAGTCTACAAAGACGGTTCTTCCCGTAATATAAAGAACCAACCGAAACGGCAAGTAAATATTGTGACGTGGGTTTGGAGCGTGGAGTGGGACCACTTTGTTGTTAGCTATAACAGTGATATGACAAACATACTTGTGGTCTCAAGTAGGTTCAAGTGCCCCTCAGCGCCCAGGAGCGTCCACACTTGCTTTGAGACCCTTCCATCAAGTAAAGCGATTTGGAAGCATCTTAGCACAGATGTTCCTACAAAAAATGGTATTATTTCATAGGTTATTTTTGATAGCAATCTCATCATAAACCTGTTTCCAATCTGAGACATTTCGTCAGGTGTTATGCACCAGACAGGACGACAAATTGGCACCGAAGTGCCTTACATGCAAAGTTTACAAAGTAATTGTACATTCGTGTTTCCTACCATATAAACAGATACAAGTGGAGGTACCATAACTATATACATAAGTACATGAAGATGGATGGAAAATCATCCCATCTGTTTTAAATGTATCCAAGAAATGATATAAATCGTGTTCTTTGCGTATACAATAATATTATATTACAGATTATTTTCTATGTCATGTTTTGCTATGTACATGTATATACATTATGTTTATCCAAAGTAATTTTTAAGAGAAACATGTTTACCGTTTATGACCAGTTCACCCAGCAGTCAAGGCTAAACGTTGATTGTTGAAACATTTGTATGTGTATGATTTGTGTATAAATAGTCATTGTATGTAATACGTGTGTTTGTTAATAATTAAGTTGTTCTGTTTGCTTCATCGTAGAAAAAAACACAATATTTCTTCAATAAGTACTGTTTATTTCCGCTGATATTAAAATCTATTGAAAATGATGATAATATGATAAACTGATTTTCAGTTTCCAAATGTCTGCAATCAATTTATCTATTGATGATAGGAGCTCAGCACTGATCCCTGCCCTATTCGTTTTCATTCATCTCACCCTTTCAAAATGCAGCATTTATAGCTTCGTATATCACTAATGAGAGTTTAATATTCGAAATATGCATGCCTGGTGTGCAAAATTTGATATTATATGTTTAATCAAACAGTAAACAGGAGTTAAATCTTAATTACTTAATCTCCTCAGTATGCTTCTTTGGTGCAATCTTACAAATTATCTGACCGGCTGACGGTCTAAATATTTAAACTCCGTGTTTTTAGGCGTGACAGGTGTAATGCACTTTTGTTATATCAGGATGTGTTGTGAGAACCTGTATATATTTTAGACTTACCTAAATATATGCATACATGATTTTATTATTAGTATGATTAATATCGTTTTGTGTTTGGTACACATTATTCCATGATCATTCTCTTGCTAAATATAGCTATTATCATTACAGGTAGTGAGCGTGAGTTGTCGCAAGGCAGGCGCCCACGGTAAGATTCGCATGGTAGAAGGCATTCCCATAAAGTAACTGTGACGTCACCCGTAGACCACACGGAAGTACCAATGGACAAGGACGACAACTCTGATTCAACATAGCTAACTATTGATGATGTAGATACATCATCATACTCCTGTTTTACAATCTTGCTTGTGGATACACAACCTCTGATACGATTCAGACTTGATTCGATACCGTGTTCAAGCTTATTTTCAAATCCTCTTGTACTTTGTTGTCCATGTGTTTAAAAAGAAAGTCAATATTTCGTTAATTTCCTTTGGATATGTACTGATTTAAACAAATCTATCGACATAATAGATGTTTTTGCACGAGTTATTATCACAGATGTCGCTTTCAGTTTTTGACGACGTCAGAAATAATTACAGATGGTAGCAATTAACACACAAAAAATATGTTCGTTTAGAAAGGGTTGCTGCGATCTTTAGTAAGATTCTCTTAAGAAAGAGGTTCGACCTAGAAACGTGCAGATTGTACTCGACACGTGGTCGAAATTACTTACGTTTTGACGTTATTGACGGCAAATCTTAGGTTGATCTAGTATGCCTATTTATCTCTCCGTTTTTGACAGTTAAGGTCTCTGTCATGGTATTAATACAGCGGGAAACGTTAAATCGCTTTTGATTAACTTTTGGAAAAAATGTGAAAAAAGTCTTCAGGGAAAGCAACAGTTGTGATGACCAATCAACGTTTACGTTTTATAACAAAAGACTATGTCGAGAGGGTTTAAGAACTACACGATATTATCTTTAATGAAATTTAGATCATCGTAGTTTTCAAAGAAAATCTCACTAACACTATGCTAACAAGTTACTGATAGAGTTTTAGTGGTATTAGCCATTCTTCCAGAGGGAAAGATTTGATGTTGGTCCGCAAGATTAAGATCTGGGTAGGCCATTTCAGTAGGGCTGTTGACAAGCAAAATATGGGGCTGGTGTTTGAGGCCGACGGTGTACACCGTTATCTTCACCAGCTCTTGCAGAGATTTAATGCATTTTCCAAAAGTTAATAATATTCCTTATCAGTAGAGTTGATAGCTATCTATAGTTTTTGATCCAAAAGAACCTCTTTGGTTTTGGCATTTCCCAAGAAAATATTTTATCAGATGTAATAGCCATCTAAATTTATGGTTTGATATCAGTGGATCTCCAGTTTGCTATCAACAACTACCCTACTGTGAACAGATGCAGGGTGAAGTGCAGTTAACATGATGCACCGTGGCTAATTTCAATACCCCCACAATGGGTGCCTTTAGTTCTGACATTCCCCTGGTCTGAGGGTCGTAGAAATGGTAAATAGGGCGTTCCGCTGGAGTCTTATCACTAGGGAGTTTTAAGACAACAACAGGTTTACCAAGATCCAGTACAGATCGGCGTGATATGGGTCTTTTTGGAGGGATTGGAAACAATGAAGTATCTGGGGTTTGCTGATTAGAATCCGGATTGGCCTGAGTGATATGACCAACTGACCCAGATTTAACATCACATATAATGGTCAGCAAACTTGTATTTGTCTTTGAATTGCTAATGTATATATAAATATATCAACAGTGGTAGAAACTTCGATAGTATCCTTATTATGTCATTAGAACAAATGTATAACTTTTGATATTTATATTTTTCTTCTCACCCACATTGCTTGTAGGTTTAGTAAAGATTCATTTTTATTATTGATAAATAACATACTGTTTTGATTTTTGTTTTTTTTACTCATATTTGGTATCTTATCGTAACACGACACTGATATCAATCTTGTGATGCGTTTCCGGGACATCAGTTTCATTATGAGAGCTGTCATTTGCATTATCAAGTGAAATAGTAAGGCCTATAACATGGATTTGTTTTTCTTAGATTAGTCTATTTTTCTCTGAGGCGCTATTCATATGATTTACACTGTTTTGTCACGCACCTTAAATAAATACACATATGAATATAAATATTATTGCGTTCGGTATTACATAACAATCAGCACAATAGCAAAATAGTTAATTGTTTTTCATTACAAAATTTACCCGTAATGAAAAACAATTAACTATTTTGCTATTATGCTGATTGTTATGTAATATCACGAATTTCGTATTGTCGTTAAATCTATTTTCTTTGTTTGAGGTCTACATGTTAATTGATGCGGTCCTCTTGTTTAAGTTATGTGCATAGAGATTGTGGGAATAGTTCGGGGAATCTTGAGACTATCCCATTTTGTATTCGTCATAAAGCAATTGTAATTGTCAAGAGGGGAAGGACTTGCGTCATTCGGACTGATTTGACAATTACAGTATCATGTTATGTTCTTGTTTTTGATGATCTTATTATGTATCCTTTAATATCTTACGGTACAGTATTGCGGTATTGGTCCAATATCAACGACAAACCTGCGTTTGAGACGAAAGAATCTGTGACCGATGTATTTTTGTTTTCTTTTAAATACAAATTATTAATAATTTCACCTGTATTGCTATTTAAATTCCATTCTGTGTTAAATGCATTTTATCCATAGACTTTGAGCTTCGATTTGTTCAGAGTAACGTTTTTATTACTGTAAATTACTCTATTTTCGCAAATGACCAATTTTCGCGTTTATCCGCAACAAGCAACATGTACATATTTCGCCAATATTACTTCCAGAGACAATACTATCGGAATTAAAATTGCATCTATTTAATTCAAAAAATCGAGTTTGGCAATTTTAATCAACAAACATAGTAGGTGAAATAAAGCTAACGCAAATAAAGAGCGGTTTACAGTATAACTTTACTTCATTTTAGTATAAACTAATTTGATATTGACATTTCAGTATACTGCAGTAGTAATATTTATTGCATCCTCGATATCCAGGGGTTACGCTCACTTTCGCTCTCTACACCCCTGGAATATGTCATAGCAAAATTGAACCCTCGGTGTGCGCCACCTTGTTGATGAGACAAGAAGACTAGTTCAACCCTTTGATGTTCATTAAAAGAATATCGCGGTCACATAACGGTAAAACTTGACAGGCTTTGAAGTCGGGCGTCTCTCTTTTGTAATCCTCAAAGGACAGGTATCACCCTAGCGATTGGTCAGGTTTTTTTCCTTAGACCAATCAAACAGCTGTCTTCGTTCCTTCAATTTTGCTATGACATATTCCAGGGGTGTAGAGAGCGAAAGTGAGCGTAACTAAGGGATATTGAGGATGTAGTTATTGATACATGTGGCCCTCCTTGCTTTCATGCTATCTTAATGGTATTGATGATATCTCTGTTTTGATATACAAACGGACATGCATTTTTTTATTTAATTTTTAATCGTCTTTCATCAACTAAAATCTTAAATGTATTCAGTAATTGTCGCTTTTGGTTATTATTAATGACATGAAGAAGAGTGGGGGCGCTTAATTTTATGGTGACAAGTGTGAACACTGCGTTGACGTGTTGCAGTGTTAGAAGGAAAGGTCATAAAACGTAACAGACTGGAAAAAAATCGCTGATTTTTTTTTTTGTAAAGTGCAGCAACGTTTCTTTTTTTAATGTTAAGTATTTTTTATAGACTCGACATTGATTTACGACTTTGAGTTGTATTTTATGCAGTTGATCTGCGACAGTTAAGGCGTGTGATATAGTTAGACAACTGTGGACAGCTGGCTGGCCCGGTATAGCAATATTTACTGTTGAATATTCCTTATATACTAATCTTTATTTTCACAACGTTATGAGACTCCGTCCATATATTTGTAATAAACACCATTTCGCAGCAGTCTATATTGTTTGTGATTTATACATGGTACTGCATCTCCCATTTCAGTCGGACNCCTTACTAGAACCCTTGTTTAGAGTATATTTAAAAAAGAAGAATTGGAAAAAATATATAAAATGTCCAGGTGTATGTTTTTTTTATATAAGTTAATTTGGGATTATTAGCATACCAAACAAAACCAGGAACTTTCGACAAATGTATTACACACACGTGTTAGTATAAATAGCTGATATGGATAATCACTGATATTCATAGTTCGATAACTGATCGGCAGAAATAGATAAACTGTACCGTGGTGGTTGAATATCATAACGCTGCAATGTATGTGTTAAGGTGCATTTACACCCGAGTACCCCTTACCCTGTAGACACCTTACATTTTTAACCGTTCATTTTCGTCCGTGTTGTCCTCCTGGGCGCCGGCCCTGCCAGATCGTGTCCTGTAAGCACTGCCAAGGAAATAGAAAAGAAAAAAATATAGATTAAGAAGTCAGTGAGATGTAGAAAATGTTTGTCCGCTACGCTGGGCCTCGTCGCTTTTTCTTGCTACTTGGCTGATCTCATGCCGTTTTTACTATTACCATGATTGATATGGAGATTAATTCTGCCATATGCACGCGTCCATCTGAAGTTGAACATTTTGTTGGGCTGTAATAAGTGGTATCGCGTGCCGGTGTTCATATATTGCTCACATTCAATGTATGATTTTTGCTCTCTTTTTGCTGCCGCTTTTGTTATTTTGGAGTTGATTTGGTTATCAGAATTGTCACTCTTTCAGTTTTTGATGGAACAAAAATATAAAAGATTTGTCATTTCAGGCAAAATGTCAAAAAGAAGAAATATCAGGAAATTAAACGAAACCAATACAGGATATAGCCCATTTAGAAAATCTATTGTGTTTACATCGGGCGGTAATAAGTGGAAGGGCATGGTAACCGACACACTGGATGATGAGGTTCGACTCGATACTGCAATGGCAGAGGTCATATCACTCATTAGTAAAGAAAACAATTATAGATGAATCGGACTCGAAGTTGGAACCTCAATTTATTACTGCAAGATACATATCTGTGTTGATGTTACTACTTTCATTGTTTTTAGGAAACGGCAACTGCGATAGTCGGAAAACGTTTTTGTGTACTTCTAGCATGTCGATATTTGTATTTTCACAAATGATTTAAGGATTTGGCCTTAGAATTTTTGGAATTTTATTGGTAATTGATTTTTTAACATGACTAATGTTCTTAATGAATTCAAAATTCAAGACGACCAAATAAACGAAAATAATATATGTTCTCATGACCTTGATACCCTGAAGCGTCAGTGTTTTCAAAGGAAAAAAACACAACTAATATACAAATAATTTAATTTTGGACAAAGATAAATTGCAATGTCCTAAATAACTATAATGAAACAGTTTCACTTAAAACCATAACTCTGTTTGGATTCGTAGATAAGATTTATTTCCCTCAAGACTTTTTCATCTTGAGGGCTATACACATTCCGAACTACCAATTTAGATCCTATATTGCTTATAAACGTTCATTGCGGGACATTGTGACTTTGGGAGTCAAAACGTTACAACTTACAGATGTAATCTAATCTGCTTGTCTAAAGTAATTCATTTAAATGCAGTGAAATTTTTGTTATATATTTTGACGTTGTGATATCGGGTAGCATGTTTTATATCAACCTTATCTCGCCTTATCTCACTGATGATTTTGGCCGACACAAATTTTGATAACCTCTACTCTCCCTACATATGGCGGACTGGCTGTGTCGTACTACCCGCTCTGTCCCGCACTGTGGCCAGGCCCTGCGGAAAGTGCGCTGGAATCATAAAACATATTTTATTTTCTTTATCAGGATTGAATTTCTATCGTTGCTTGTTCACTAAGTCACTGTTGCCTCCATTGCGAGCGACAACCCACTAGGGATAGAAAGATCGAGATAAAGCTTATCTGTTCTGTTTATCAGATGCAATATTTCTGTAGACAATTTGTCGTCGCCCAAGTCTTGGTGTATACCAAGTTCCAACATTCACGTAGTTTCCAAACTTTTTTTGGTCCCTTGGTTATAACTTAGTGTTTTTTTTTATTTTGTAATGCTAATGTGTCTATGCCATTTTTTTTACTCCCACTGAAACAATTAACTTTTGTGACTGTATCAAGATTTTGTTGTGGTGTATTTGAATACATTCTTACTTTTAAAAAAATCGTATATTTTATCAAATATCTAGTCACCGGAACAAACAAGAGAGTTGTGGAAACAGTTTCCCCCCATTGCTCATTTATTTTCATCAAATAGAAAAACAAAACCTCTATGGAAGAGTACCAATGTTATAACCATCTGTGTATAGTGACTTATCTTAAATGCCATTGGGATAATCAATCATGTTTTGCTCCAAATTAACCACCCTTCTACCCCTGGATTGATATCGGCGAGATATCATTCCGCCCGTGTGATATCACTCCGCGATTGGTTGGGCACGTCGAAAGCGAGAAGATACAAGTTACAGAGGGGATTCGTCACGTCCTTATTGCGTTCCCTGTAATCACTCAACGGCTATCATCCCTGGACAAAGGGAAATAAAGGGTCTGATTTGGTGATATCGGTATATTGTCCCGCACTATCTGATAAGTCGGCACGGTGGCACGGGTACCCTATCGTCGGCCATCTTGTCAATCATTCCGCACAGTTTACCAACTACCAGTGCTTGATGATTGGCAGTCGGTCCATCTGATGGTGGCGATAGTTCACAGTTTGATAGACTTTCGATCAAACCTTACTTACTTCGGAAACGTGCGTGTACTGTGTCGGACCTAGTCGCTGATACTGACGAGTCCAACACTCCATATTCACAAGGTCAATGTGGAGCTCCATACACTGTTGCATCCTGTTAAAATATTATCATCCTGTACTTTATCTATACTTGCAGATTATATCATAGCGTTTTTATTTTTCATATCCAAAACAAAATCCACAATAATAATTGTCATAAAACATGATTCGGTATCAACATGATAAGGAAAAAATATAAAAAATCTCCAATAGCACAAAAACCTTAAACACTACATTAGTATATATGTTCGTATATAAACACAATGTACCTCATTAGTTCAGTGTTAAACACTCGCTAAGAGAACAAAGGACTTATCTATTCATGTAAGAATTATCTGTTAATGTTAACTTTTTTGGATAAAACAAAATCAATTATTCTCTGCCACTGTGTTGCAACTGTCATTAAGTGTTTATTTAGTATGAGCATTATATCATATGAGCATCGTTTCTGAAGATGTGATCATTGTACATATTGTGAAGATTGTAATCGTCCTTTTTTGACAAGTGACAACAAGCGTACAGTCTATTGTATATACATATATATAAATAACAAATATACGAAAGGTACATCCTATCAAATGTATCAAATTAATATATAAATATTTTGATCGTTTTGTAATGTAAAGACGAATATCTGTTTATCTATAGAATACATTTCCAAATTACAGAGTGGTATAAAAGTACATTGGAATATGAAACAAACGCGATTTATCTTAAGCTCAATCTCTCGAACTGAAAGTTATGAGCATCAATCAAGCGGGCATCATTTGATAGTAATATATCTTTCAGTACTTTGTAAACATCATTATAATTGCTACATATCTTTACAATCTCTAAATATTCATGAACGGAAGCCACATTTATCAAATGAATATGTTAACTCGTTGATGACAATTTTGGCGACAAGTGTCCAATAGATGTCGCTGTTAGAGTATCCCTGTGGGATATGGTAAGTTGGAGACACCAGCTGTTAAGTGGATACGGGTCAGTGAGCGTTTATAACCTTGATGCCTGGTCAAAACAACTTAAGGAACGGTACGGCAAATACATGTAAAGGGTATACTCTGAGGGTATAACATTGTTCATGTTCAATATCTGTATATAAATATACATAAAATATCAAAAAGAATATCAATTGTAAATATTTATTAAATCGAGTTAAAAATATTTTAGTCCGGCTGTGTGGTACAGTGTGTGGTTGCTCCTATTTTTGTGGTACACTTCCTATCAATGGCCGTTAATGTAGAGGTAATTTTGTCATATTTTAATGCATCTGGCGACATAATGAGGATACACTCTCCGTCCACGGACCAATTTCCTCTTCTCTCGCGCTGTTTGGTCCTGCCCAATCAAAGAGTTAATGAAGCGTGAATGTGCCACGGCTTTGTGATGGTCAGAAGTAGGATCACATTAAGGCGAATCACAAACAATTACAGCGGACACTGGACCCATAAACAGACTTC